CACTTCGAAGTAGCGGGAAGGCGGGAGCAGGCGGTTGGACTCGGACGTCAGGTCGATCACGTGACGACCGGGCAGACTTCGACGGCACAGGAAACGAAGTTCAAAGGGTTCCAGCAGCAATGGGCTGGTCATGTCGAACAGGCCTCGATGCTGTTGTCGAGCGGCCTGGACGAAGGCCCGCGCCATTTTTAGTTCTGTATCGGTCGCTGCAAGTTGAGCGGCATGGCCCGGCGGGATGACCGCTTTGCTGATGGAATCCGGACGATCGAACGGGTTCACATTCGGCCAGATGAAATAGGGAAACGCGAGACCTCGTTCCAGCATTCTCATGTTGTACGTCGGCGGTCGCGGCGTCGGCACGTCGCGTTTCGGCTGGTTTCGATTCAGTGTGCACAAGAACCGGCCGTAACCATCCATTACCTCAAATCCGAACCTCATGTAATAACTGAATTCCGACAGATCCTGCTGCATGATCTGCATATCACGCTGGATCAGGTTTCGTAGTTCTGTTGTAGCCCGGCGAGCGTGTTCGAAATGATCGCTGCCGGGCTGTCCCTGCAACTTCGGTTGCAGAAAGTTACGCAGATCAGCTGAAACGTCGGCCTGATAGCTGCCCCACCGATCGTCGAACGCAGTGGTTAAGAATTCGTTCCAACGATTGTCTTCCAGGGAAACGAAATTCAGACGAGTCCCTGGAAAGGCAAAACTGATTTCCGGAGTATCGATGCCCAACAATCGCACAGGAGTGTTGCCATCGGGACGTACCGTGATGGTATCGCCGTCGTGGACCTGCTGCTCGACGCTGCCAGGCATACCGCTATACAGTCCCGGCTGAGCAAATCCGGTGGTTCGATTGTTTTTGGAATCTGACCGAATAGCGTTAGGCATTGGAACATTCTTTTTCATGTGATCTGGAGAGGCATCCGGCCTGCGGTGCCGATTGCTGGCCGCATTGTCGTCATCAGTCATCGTGTCGCAAGCTGGCTTCCAATGAGTTCTTCCAACCCACTGCGAGGTTCATTTGCCGAACGGTTTGGACGACTATGATGTGACGACCGGCAACTAATCGTGATGTTCCAATCGAATGCAAATGTTGCTATTCCGCAATTGGCGGCTGAAATTCGCCGATCTCAAACGAACCGCTGATGGCACCACAGCTTTTGTTTGTAAGCTGTTTGCCGGCCCAATTCTAAATTCGTCGCAAATCGCAGGCGTCTGGAAAACTCATGCAGAATGCCTCAAACACTGACGCTGAAACCTCTTCGACGGACGGCGCGAACGAAGTCGTGCCGTCGACTGCACAATCCGACAAGTCTGCCATGCGTTTGATCAGCGTTTGGAGTCGTCGGCTGTTGTTTGGGCTGACAATCGTCTTCTACGCAGTCGTCCTGATCGCAATGAATCAGATTTCCGCGGTCGAACGGCAGACCGGCATCAGTCTGGACGTACTTTCCATCACACTGTTCTTCGGTACAGTCGCGCTGCTGCTATTGTGGGCCATCTGGGTGCTCATGCTGAGTCGCTGGCGGTGGCGAAGCCGGCTTGGAGTCCTGGCCGGCATGCTGCTGATCCCGTTCGCCTTCTTCAAACTGTTTCGTCCGGTCAATTCCGGAGACGCCACGATCGCTCGCTACGAACCGATCTGGAACATGCCGGAGGAAGTATCGACTGATGTTTCCGAACTTGCTGATCGGACCGTCGACCTGACGACCACCACTCCCCGCGACTTTCCTCAGTTTCTCGGCCCTGATCGCGACGGCGTGATTCGGTCGGACGTCGACGCTGACATCGACCGGTTCGCTCAGACAAAGATCGTCTGGAAGCAACCCATCGGACGCGGCTGGTCGGGCTTCAGTGCTCAAAACGGCTACGCCGTCACCATGGAACAGCGCGGCGAAATGGAATGTGTTACGTGCTACGACCTTCAGAACGGCGAACTGTGCTGGATCTATGAACATGAAGCTCGACACCGTGACGCGGGAAACATGGGGCGAGTCGGACCGCGATCGACTCCAACGATTCACGACGGCCTCGTCTATGCACTGGGTGCGGTCGGCAATCTGGTCTGTCTGAACGGTGCGGACGGCGAAGTCGTCTGGCAGCAGGACCTGAATCAGATTCTGGGTATTCAACTGCAATCCGACGCGGCAGACGACGGCTACGACATTCAGTACGAAGCCAATACCATGTTGGCATGGGGCCGAGCGGCCTCGCCGCTGGTTTATGACGATAGCGTGGTGGTGCCCGGCGGAGGTCCGGCCGACGACATTCAGACTTTACTGTGTTTCGATCGTGTGACGGGCGATCTCAAGTGGTCGGCCGGCGACGAAATGATCGCTTATGGCAGCCCGGTGCTGGCGACGGTCGCCGAGCAACGTCAGATTCTGATGACCGCCGAATCAGAAGTGATGGGCTTTGATCCCTCGGACGGTCGCGTCCTGTGGCGACTGGCTCGACCAGGCAGCAGCGATAGTTTCGCCAACACCTCGCAGGTGACCGTCGTCAGCGACAATCATGTTCTGACCAGCAAGGGATATCCGGACGGCGGCGGCGAACTGATTCGACTGGATCGAGACGGCGACAACCTGCAGGCGGAATCGATATGGAAGTCCGAACGATCACTCAAAACGAAACTCACCAGTCCCGTCGTGCAAGATGACCTGGCATGGTGTCTGTCGAATGGCTTTCTGGAATGCGCGGACCTGACCAACGGCAAACGCATCTGGCGTCATCGAGGTCGATTCGGTCACGGACAGTTGCTGATGTGGAACCAGCACCTGCTGGTGCACAGCGAGTTCGGCAATCTGTACCTGTTTCGAGCAGACGACAGCGCACCGGAAACTTCGCCATCCGTGCCGACGGTGGATGGCGTTTGCTGGAACACGTTGTGTCTGTACGGTGACCGAGTCCTCGTGCGGAGCGAGCTGGAAGCCGCCTGCCTGCAGATTCCGACACGCTAAAGTTTGTCCGAATACGTGCGGACATAGTGGCACGTGGACCGCCTGCCGGCAGCGGTCGCTTGCGAGCCTGATCGCGTCGAGGCACAATCGATGTTCCGCCTGCTTCGGTCTGCAACCAGGAAAGCTATCCATTGACTCGCGCCTTCATCGTTCTGAGTTTCGTTTGTTTCAGTCACCCTCACATTAGCGCTGATGAAACGGCACGTAAGCCGGTGCCGGATCTGGTTAAGCAGGCTCTGCTTCAGAGCGTAGAACAACGGCGAGATGCTTCCTGGCAAATCGCTCAGCAGATCTGGCTGGCAGCGGAACCCGGTTATCAGGAACAGAAATCGTCCGCACTGCTGGCAGACCATCTGGAATCCGCCGGCCTGAAAGTGACTCGATCCGTTGCCGACATTCCGACCGCCTTCACAGCGGAATTTGGAAGCGGTGAACCCGTGATCGGAATTCTGGGCGAATTCGACGCGCTACCGGGACTCAGCCAGACCGCTGATCCGGAGCGTCAGCCGCGGGACGACGGAAACAGCTACGGACATGGCTGCGGCCACCACCTGTTCGGCACGGCGTCCGCGTCAGCGACGTTGGCACTCGTCGAGCAGCTGAAACAGCAACAGCTGCCAGGCACCATACGCTTCTACGGTTGCCCGGCGGAAGAAGGCGGCAGCGCGAAAGTGTTCATGGTACAGGCCGGGCTGTTCGAAGACTGCGACGCCGTGCTGCATTGGCATCCCGGAAGTCGCAATGCCGCGGGAGATAAAAGCAGCCTTGCACGAATGGCCGTGAAGTTTCGCTTTCATGGCAAAGCGGCACACGCGGCCGGAGCTCCGGAGCAGGGCCGGTCTTCGCTGGACGCCGTCGAACTGACCAACCACGCGGCTCAACTGCTGCGCGAACACACACCGGATTTCACTCGGATCCATCACGTGGTCACAGCGGGCGGGGACGCTCCAAATGTCGTGCCGGCGTTCGCCGAGGTGTACTACTACATTCGTCATCCGGCCGCCGAAGTTGTTCGGCCGCTGTACCAGCGTCTGGAACTGTGCGCTAAAGCCGGGGCGCTTGCCACAGAAACAGAACTGGAGATCAAATTCGAAGGCGGCATTCGCGAAATTCTGCCTAATCAGACCTTGTCGAATGTCGTGCAGAATCACCTGAGCTCACTGAACGATCTCTCGTATTCTGAAGAAGATCTCGCCTTTGCCGCTCGGCTTCAATCGACGCTGCCGGATCCCAAACCGATCGAAACGATTCGTGAAGTGGAAGACGTCAGTGGAACCGTCGGAAAGGGGTCAACCGATGTGGGTGACGTTTCCTGGGTGGTCGCCACGACGGGTTTCAGCACGGCATGTTGGGTTCCCGGCACGCCGGGCCATTCGTGGCAGGCTGTTGCTTGTGGCGGTACCGCCATCGCGGAAAAAGGCATGAACCTGGCGGCAAGAACAATTGCCGTCAGCGCCGCTGAGCTGTTACTGAACCCGGAAATCCTGCAACAGGCGAAACGCGAGTTCGAAGAACGTCGAGGCGATCAGCCTTATCGATCGCTAATGCTGCCCGGTCAAAAGCCGCCGCTCGATTACCGGAACTCCGCACGATGAACGACTGCGAGTGAACCTTCACGGCGGCACGCTGAAGTTGACGACATCGCCCGTTTGCTCAATCGATTATGCGTCGGCCGGCTCGGCTGCTTCCAGTCGACGTTGCAGCTGTTGAGCCTGCAGGCGGATCGCAGACACGGTGGCCTGTTCCACGACCTTCTGCAGCACCTTCTCCAAGTCGTTTTTTTGCTCGGCTGACAGTTTCACCAGAATGCTGTCGGCCGCGCGAATGGTGTTCTGCAGAATGACGGGCTGCTCGGATCGTCGCTGATTGATCAAAGCCGTCCGCTCCGGTTCCTCGACCTGCTCCAGATCATCTATCTGCACGGGATCACTGGCGGATCCCATCAGTTCGATCAGGACATCAAATCCAGCCGTGGAACCATTACGAGCCAGTCCGACGGCAGCATTGGCACGAGCTTTCGCGTTGCCGTCCAGCAGTGCCAGTTCCAGTTCCCTGATGGCATCCGGGCCGCTGACCAGCCCCGCGACAAAGACGCCCAGATGTCGAATCGATTCGTCTTCGTCCCGCATTGCTTTTCTGATCTGCTGCCACGCTTCATCGTTTTCCAAAGTCGGTTCGGGAAGAGGCTCCTTCAGAGTGACGACAGACTTGTCTGCTTCGTATTCTCGATCCGGTTCCAGTAGTTCCGCATCTGCTGCCTGTTGCTCAAAATTGCGACCGGCAATCATCGCCAGTGCCATCAGGCTGCTCTTGCGGACCTCCGGCTCGTATTCTGCACTCGCAGCGCGGGCGAGGACCGGGACCACCACCGGATCCACCTTCAGTGCTCCCAGAGTGCGGGCCAGGAACTCACGATTTGTAAGTTCTTCTTCGGGATTGTCCGGCGACTTTGTGTCCAGAGATTCGTTCAGCAGATCCGCCAGTGCTTCCGCGACTTCACGTCGTTCGGCCAGCGGCTTTTCGTCGACGGGCGGTGCGATGGTCTGATTTCTCATAATTTGAGCCAGTCCGAGTGCTGCACGCCAGCGACGATTCGGATTGTTGTTGCCGACTTCCGCGACCAACTGCCGCCAGTCTTCTTCTGATTCCGCCATTTTGCCGAACAGCGCCCAGACACCGATCACGGCTGCCACAATCAGAGCAGGAATGAGAAACAACTGCACGATAAAGCCAGCCGACGGTGGTTCCACCGGCGGCAGTTCTTCCGGACGGCGATCGCCAGACGAATCTGTCGGCAGGTTGTCGCCGGCAGGCGGCGGATTCAATTCAGTATCGTTCATAGCTTGATGGTCAGTTTGCGGCGCTGTGAATAGTCCCGCAGCGTCGAATCAACTGCAACAGCATCACGACACTGTGCAGAGCAATTTGCGGCTGTTCAAAGAGGTGGCGAATCCAGCCGGCCGGGAATTTAACCGGCCCGCCGAGTTTCGCAGAGTCGGCTTTGCATTCCGCAAGACAGCGGGATTCTAGACGTCCTCTGTCTGCTTTTCAGGACAGCATTCGGGCAGGAACCGATTTTCCCGCCGATGAACTCATCGAACCGATCGCATAAACCGGGTAGTCGGTTCGAAAGACGGCCAATCGCCGCCCGTCATGGAAGTTCCTGAATGAAGGCGCCGGCCTGACCGGTCGCGACCGCAATCCGACGTCCGTCCTGACTGATGTCAGCCGAATTCCCCACTTGTCCGATCTGACTTTCGTGTACCAGCGTTGCCGTGCCGGCATCCCAGATCTTCAACGCCCCCGCGTAGCCATATGATACGAATCGCTGGTTGATCTGCTGCCAGCCCAAGCGATGAATGAAGTCTCGGTGGCCTTCCAGCATCTGTTTTGTACTGCCGTCCTGCAGGTCGATGCCATAGATCTGGCGATCCCCGCCAGCGGCCCAAAGACGCTGGCGTTCCGCATCGAGCAGCAAAGAATACATCGTGGCGGGCAGCACTGTCAGTTGTTTCAACTGTCGACCGCTGGCGATGTCCCAGACTCGCAGAGTTCCGTCGCTGCCGGCGGTATAAGCCAGGCTGCCGTCGGCGGCGACTGCGATCGCATGAATGCTGCCCTGATGCCCCCGCATCTGAAATTTCTGTTGCCCGGTTTCCAGCGACCAGACTCGGACCGTCTGATCAGCTCCGGCAGAAACAACAAACTGATCGTCAGCAGTGAAGGCGACTGCATAAACGGGACCGCCGTGATTGAACTGTCGGTACTGCACGGGATCCGCGCACCGCCACCGTGATAACTGCGATTCAGCATTCGCCAGCCAGACGGCATCATCGCCTGCGGCAGAAACGAGGGCACGGACCGGCATCTTCGTCTGCAGCTGCTGCTGCATCGTCCAGGGACCATTAATGTCGTTTGTCGAAGGAACAAAGACGGAAACCGTTCCATTGTCGGTCGCTACGGCCAATCGCCGTCCGTCGTCGCTAAAAACTGCAGCCGAGGCGACGCCGTCAAATGCAGGATGGTGCGGCGGTGAATCCTTCGACAGAGGAATAATCTGCACACCACCGTCCTTCGATCCAACGACAGCTCGCTGACCGTCGTCACTGACGGTCAACAGCCGACCTCCATCTTCGAACGTGCGCGAGACGATTGGCCGGCCATCGGCTGCCAGCACCTGCAGGGTTTGCGAAGTGACGGAAACGATTCGTCCGGTTGCCTGATGCGCTAGCACCAGGGCGTTCGGTGCTGGTGCCTTCGCTTCATCGAACAGGCCGAATTCTTTCACGATGGCGGGCTGCGAAGCTTCCTGCTTGGAGCCGGTAGCAATCCTGAACTGCCTTGCCTTTCCGGCATTGTCCACTACCAGGACATCGTCACCGATGAACAGAAACGCCTGCACGGGAAGATCGGTGGCGTGGAACTTCGTAATGACCTGTTTCAGCAGAGGACTGAACAAAACGACGTCACCATTCTGCTGGCCGATTGCGTGCAGAAGATCGTCTGGGCGCAACTGCCAGGCCGTGATTCCTGCAGCCGCTGTCCACAGCACGTCAACCGCTCCGTGTTCACCCTGAGCGTCAACTTCGCCCGCCGAATCATCGATGCGGTGCAGCTGCCGATCGGTTACGACGTAAAAGAATTCGCCCTCGCGCGGCCGCAGGACGAAGCGAACATTTTGCTTGCCGAGGCTGACTGAGGTCTCGGGGTGTCTTGCCGGTGCAGGCCACACGCGTAGAGCGTTGTCCTGACCGCCACTGGCCAGCCATCGCCGATTCGCACTTACAGCCAGACAATTGGCCGGACCGCTGTGAGCATCGTAGCGGCGAACAGACTTCCCGGTCCGACTGTTCCAGATTCGCAACGTTCCGTCAGAACCGGTGGAAGCCGCCAATTCGTCACGAGCAAGAAACTGAACGTCCGTCACGGATCCTTCGTGCTGATCGAAGTACACATCCTGAGCGCGCGTGAACGCCGGCATTGCCAATTGCCAGCATAGAACTGCAACGATCACCTGGTACCGCGGCGGCCAACGATTGTGGACTGGATCAACGCTTTTGTTACAGCCACTCAGCTCGGGAACTGTTACCGTCAGTCTTGATAAACGAAGCATGAGCCATCACTGCGGAGAAGAACGAGGTGGGCAATGCCGGAGCAACGATCGCGCGGCTTTTTTGTTTACTCAGCCTGGATCGCCAGTATTCTGAAATTCCGGTCGATTCGCGGAGTTCTGATTCTGCCGCAGCGCCCGGAATTTGCAATCGATCGCCAATTCGAGACTCCACCTCGGACAAGCGGTCCCGATTGCCAGCGCCGTCGAAAGTACGTTGAAACCAGCCGGCGGCGCCCCCGTTAGATCCTCCTGACCAATCCAACAAACTCGCTTTTCCCTCACGTGATGGTGACCGCGATGAAAACACTCCAACGACTTGTACTTCTGACACTGTTCACATTTGCGGCAGATACTGCATTCGCGCAGCAGGCACTTTCCGTCGCCGGACCGGGACTCGGTGGCGGTGGTGGCTTCGGCTACGGAGGAGGCTTTGGCGGCGGATACGGGGGAGGTTTCGGAGGCGGATATTCGTCCGGCTTCCGTTACGGCGGTGGCTACGGATATGGTGGAGCCATCGGCGGATACAGCGGCGGCATCGTCGTGCCGGTTTACTATCGAGTGCCAATTTACCGAGTTCGCACGCGAGTCGTTCGGCCGGCCTGCGGCTGTGTTCCCGGTACCGTGACTACGAAGCCGAACCTGGCACCTCGAACACACGTAGCTCCATCGCAGCCTCAACTGCTGCCAAACGCCGCACCTGAAAATTCGCCTCAGCCGGATCTGGTTCCGACCCCGCAGCAGGTTCCCGCCGACTCACAGCCGCAGCCGGAAACTCAGGAGCAGTCGACAGAACCTGAGCAGATCTAAGCCCCTATCCGACCACCTGAACGACGCTTTCAGGTGGTCAGATCTTCGCCACGTCACGGCTGCTGAACGTAAATCGTCGAGCAGCCTTCTGCAGGCGGCCGACCGACCGGCAGCTTTCGCCGAACCTTCGCGTTCATCCAGCGGCCGGCCGACGTCCCTGTTGAGGGATTCTTGCGGAACGCGCGCAGTTGTACGAATTCCATCGAGTGCCCGGAATGGCGCGGTCGATCTCTTTCTGCAGAGACCGCGGCCTACGCTGCGCGCCACAAGACAATCCATCTGACCGCCACGGATCGGCGGAACACGTTGACGAACGCCGTTGAGCCGACAGCTTTGGCAGAAAATTCTGCCGAAACCATCGGATCAGCCGTCCTTCGATAGGGAGATCGAACTGATGAAACGTGAGCTGGGAGCTGCCGGCCTTGCACTGCTGCTGTTTGTGCAGACCGGTTGCAGCACATCTGAAATGCTGCCCTTTGCGTCCGCGAAGAAAGACGCCGACGATCCGCTTGCGAACCTGACTGCGGAGGCCACCGATAGCTACAAGTCGGCCCGCAAGTCTTTGGGACAGGGTGAAGAAACGCTGCTGAAGTTCGCGCGGTGGCGTGAAGAGATGGGCGACCACGCCGAAGCGAAGGCTCAATACACCAACATTCTGGCCGACAACGACGACTGCGTGGATGCCCGACTGGGCATTGCTCGAGTCGAATACGCGACCGGCCGAGTTGCCGAAGCGGTTGCGATTCTGGAAGCCACCACGCGGAAGTATCCGGAACATGCTCAGACGTGGGCCGAACTCGGCACGATCCAATCAGATCGAGAAGAATGGTCCCAGGCCGTCGAAAGCCTGACGAAAGCCACTGAGCTAGACAACAAGAATCAATCGTTCCGTTACCAACTCGGACTGGCGCTCGCACGCAGCGATCGCTTCCAGGAAGCGAAGCCTCATCTGGCATTCGCCGTCGGTGAATCGGCCGCGTTGTACAACATCGGCTATGTGCTGCACGAAGCCGGCCGCGACGAAGAAGCCGGTCTGTGGATGCAGCGAGCCCTCAATGCCCACCCCGATCAGAGAACTCGCACCGCGGCAACTCAGTTGCTGGCGTCGCTCGGCAACGGTCAGCCCACGAATCGGGTTCGACAGCCAAACGAAATCAATGTCGCGTTGACAAGCTTCGAAGCGTATCGCGAAGTCCCCGCGCAGACCGCGGGTCAGACGGCTCAAATTCAACCTCACGTGCGAGCAACCGCACAGCCGCAGACGGCGGGAGTCGCGACTGTGCCGCAGGTTTCCAGCAGCCAGGCCGCAACTTACGGCAATGTCCGGCAATGGAGTGGCCCAACACACACTCAGAATTCACAGGCTGCACCGCCTCAACAATCCGTCCAGCCTCCTCAGTGGACAGGCCCCGGAAACTAAACCCATGATCGCCGCAGGGCGACACTTCTGCTGTGGATCTGCCGGGCCGGGATGCACAGCCAGCGTCAGTCTGAATTGTGGCGACAACCTGTTCGTTAAGCTGAAAAATGGGGTCGATCTGAAACGTTAATCAACGCGAAGTCGACTTCGTAGAACATTCACGCGGGATTCACCGCGAAACCATGAGTGGTTCGAATCGTGGCATCTGACGACGACAAACCGGTAGGGCTGCTGGCACGATGTCTGGGAGGCATCGTTGGGTTCGGTGCGCGCCGTCCTCGACTGGCCTTGTGGGTGATGGTTCTGCTGGGCTGTGCCAGCGTTGGCCTGACGTATTCCGAACTGCAGTTGCAGACCAGCCGAGCGCGCCTGCTGGGACCTCAGGATTCCTGGGAAGCTTACCGTGCTTTCGGCGGGGACTCAGAAATGGTGGTCGTCGTTCGAAACGATCAGCCCGACGCAGTGCTGCTGCAGACCGTGCTGGATCGACTGGGCGACCG